GATTTCGGGACGTACGGACTGACGGACGGACGGACTGACGGACGGACGGACAAGTGCAACGCTATATGCTCCAACATTGTGGGGGCATAATAAAACTGTTACCTTATCAAAAATTAAAAATAACATGGAAAAGTTTTTCACTGACAGATCAAATTGAGGACTCTGTGATTGATTCTTAAGCACCCCACTTCAGGTCAATGAAAAAAAGTTTACATACCAAATTTGGAGTCAATCAAATTTATAGTGACCAAGTTATATGTGTCACAGGGTGAGAAAAAGTGCAGCCTGACCGGGATTCGAACCCGGGAACCTCAGAATACCGTTCCGCAGCACTACCGACTGAGCTATCCGGCCGCTTGCACATTTCTCCAGTAATTAGTGAACATTTCTGAACCGTGACATACACCCCTGCTATATTGAAAATTGTCCTCGAATTTCGCAGAGTTGCAGAGCTATGTAAATTAAACTCAGAGCTATATTTGTCACGGCCCCATGTTGGGCGACAAATGTCACAGGGTGAGAAAAATGTGCAGCCTGACCGGGATTCTAACCCGGGAACCTCTACCGACTGAGCTTAGATGATCTGGCCGCTTGCACATTTTCTTCCGTAATTAATGAACATTTCTGAACCATGACATATGCTCTGCACAAGCTTATTTACTAAGAAAATAAACAAAGGGCAATAACTCAACAAGGCTGCCATGATGGCCCTATATTGCTTACCTTATAGATCTTAAAATAATTTTTCTTTTTAAAAACAAGCACAAGGTTTATAAAATTCGTTAATGTCATGTAAAGGTTAATGTCAAATGTAAAGTATTTTTGGCCAACAGCAACAGGAATGCAAACAAGTGTATAGAAATACCTCTTTTTTATCTAAAGTACAGGTTGCTGAAAAATACACTCCCTGTAGCCTGTTTACATCATGAATATTTAAACAATGACATCATAATTAACAAGATGAAGTACAAATTTGGATAATACTTCAATAAAAATAGGTCAGGTTGCATTTGTATACCAAACAAGAAACATGGCAATGCCATGAAACCAGGTTTTCAATTATCACCATTGTAGATAAATATGTTATATTTGAAATACAAATACAAGCAACAAACAATGTAAGTATGTGCAATGTAAAACATGAATAATGTAGGAGGAATTGCCACAGAGGAAGTGTTCACTATAATTATATTCTGTATAAGGAAAAAAAACAAAGGGCCATATTTAAATAAAAAATTATTCAATCACAAAACCCCGACAATATGCGCCAGGGCACTGGATGACAAAGCTACTGTGAAAGTTTGAACAAAATCCGTTGAGAAATGTAGGAGTTCAGCACAGAAATTTTTTTTCACTTTATATTCTGTATAAGGAAAAATAACAAAGGGCCATAATTAGGTCAAATATTATCCAATCACAAAACCCCGATAATGTGCGCCAGGGCATTTGATAACAAAGCTTCTGTGAAAGTTTGGTCAAAATCTGTTGAGAAATGTAGGAGAAGTTGCGCATGGTAAAAATTGTTCACTATATAATCTGTATAAGGAAAAAAACAAAGGGCAATAATTAGGTCAAATATTATCCAATCACAAAACCCCGACAATATGCGCCAGGGTACTTGATGACAAAGCCTCTGTGAAAGTTTGGTCAAAATCCATTGAGAAATGTAGGAACAGTTGGGCACAGAAGAAATTATTCACTATATAATATTATTCTATATAAGGAAAAAAAACAAAGGGCCATAATTAGGTCAAATATTATCCAATCACAAAACCCCGACAATATGCGCCAGGGTACTTGATGACAAAGCCTCTGTGAAAGTTTGGTCAAAATCCATTGAGAAATGTAGGAACAGTTGGGCACAGAAGAAATTATTCACTATATATTCTATATAAGGAAAAAAAACAAAGGGCCATAATTAGGTCAAATATTATCCAATCACAAAACCCCGACAATATGCGCCAGGTCACTTGATGACAAAGCTTCTGTGAATGTTTGGTCAAAATCCATTGAGAAATGTAGGAACAGTTGGGCACAGAAGAAATTATTCACTATATATTCTATATAAGGAAAAAAAACAGAGGGCCATAATTAGGTCAAATATTATCCAATCACAAAACCCCGACAATATGCGCCAGGTCACTTGATGACAAAGCTTCTGTGAATGTTTGGTCAAAATCTGTTGAAAAATGTAGGAGAGTTGCGCACAGAAGAAATTGTTTACGCCCGCCCATCCGCCCGCCGCCCGCCCGCCGACATACCTCAATCTAATAACCAGTGTTTTCCTTCGGAAAACCTGGTTAAAAACATAAGGCTGTGATGTTCCAAAAATTTCCTACCATTGACCATTAATGTCGAACATTTAATAAGTCGGTAAACAGGAAGCTGAGTTAACTGTTACGAAAAATTTCCCTGAACCAATTTGCCTGCTTGCCCGGAATCAAGTCTCAATATATAATGGTAAACAGTTTCGTTTTTTTTCATTATATGTAAATTTTTTTCGAAAACCAGTATTATTTAGCATGGAATGGCATTCTTTGAACAATCTTGATAGAGCTTCATACAATGAGTATTCCTGCCAAGTTTCATTAATATTGGCCAAGTGTTATTAAAGAAGATGTTGTTTGAATAAAAATGCAAGGTGAGCTAAAAAGTATATCAGATGAAATACTGAATACAAGATCAGAGCTAATACTGAAGTAGTCATTCAGAGCTAATACTGAAGTAGTCAATCAGAGCTAATACTGAAATAGACAATCAGAGCTAATACTGAAATAGTCAATCAGAGCTAATATTAAAATAGCCAATCAGAGCTAATACTGAAATAGTCAATCAGAGCTAATACTGAAATAGTCAATCAGAGCTAATACTGAAATAGTCAATCAGAGCTAATACTGAAATAGTCAATCAGAGCTAATACTGAAATAGTCAATCAGAGCTAACACTGAAATAGTCAATCAGAGCTAATACTGAAATAGTCAATCAGAGCTAACACTGAAATAGTCAATCAGAGCTAATACTGAAATAGTCAATCAGAGCTAACACTGAAATAGTCAATCAGAGCTAATACTGAAATAGTCAACCAGAGCTAATACTGAAATAGTCAAATCAGAGCTATACTGAAATTAGTCAATCAGAGCTATTATTAATAATAGTCAATCAGAGCTAATACTGAAATAGTCAATCAGAGCTAAAACTGAAATAGTCAATCAGAGCTAATACTGAAATAGTCAATCAGAGCAGACATGTGAAAAACAATGACCCCCCCCCCCGGCCCTAGAGTTTAGATATTAAGCATGAACTATCTTCTAGTGATTGACTACCAAGTTTGTTCAAATAAAAGCTCTGGGGACAAAAAAAACGTTTATGAGGAGATGTTGTTTAAAGTAAAAGTTTACGGACGGACTGCCGGACGCCGGACGAAAAGCCATCACAAAAGCTCACCATGTCACTTTGTGACAGGTGAGCTAAAAAGTCAACACACACTCATGCATGAACAGGCAGAGGTGGGACACTGACAGATTTCCCCTTTTTAAACAAAAAAACAAAAGTAACAGGTACAACACTTTTCTTCTTTCGGCATACTTACATACAATTTACATTAAATTTAAGTCTAGACTGAAAAAGGTAAGTGTATAATTATGTAGTTAAAACAAAATGTGTCCAGTATCTTTTTTTTTTTATATGCGTTTATTTAAGGTCGCCGCCGGAAAGCCCATATGGGCGACCGTACACTCAAGTCGGGTTATCCTAGAGCGTCCCGCCGAGATTTTTCGTCGATTTTTTTCCAGCTTTTATTGGTGGAGGAAGACCCCAGGTGCCCCTCCGGGCATTATTTCAGGCACGAGCGGGCACCTGGGTAGAACCACCGACCTTCCGTAAGCCAGCTGGATGGCTTCCTCACATGAAAGAGTTCGACCCGAGTGAGGATCGAACCCACAGTGGTGAGGGACCTGTGATCTCAAGTCAGCGACTTTAACCACTCGGCCACGGAGGCCCCACCAGTATCTTGAATATTGTAACACTTTTTCAGAGTAACAAATAACACTGATAAAATAAGTTTGTTAAAGTTATTTCTAGTATCAGTTCATTAAATCAAATCATTGGTGACATTCAATGCATGGAGCAAAACTGAATAATTATGGTGAAATTTTAAAACAGGAGCGTTTTAGTGGAAAAAATAAAATAAATTTAAGCTTGAATTTCCTGTGTGTAATAAGTAAGAAATGTATTTTCAGGGGAAGTAATAAATAAGTTTGTTTTGTTAAACATTAAACCCTTAACCTGCTGGAAACCGGAAGTGGTTCTGCGGGAAACTGGAAGTGGTTCTGCGGGAAACCGGAAGTGGTTCTGCGGGAAACCGGAAGTGGTTCTGTGGGAAACCAGAAGTGGTTAGCCTTTGCCTCCAGTTACAGAGCCAGGCAAACCTGCTTTTTTTACATGTACACACATGCAGTCTGACCAGGCTCTATACTGTTAGTAGCTCACTTATTTTGTATTTTGATACTAAAATCCTTAAACCTTAAAATGGACTGTTCCAAACTGAAAGCTGGACAAATTCATTATACTATATGTATATATACTCAGCAGGTTAAAAGTTAAATTTCCCTTACCTATCTTTATAACTTAAACACATGAAATGGATATAGAGGTTGGTTCAATACTAAATTTATAGAAGGAGTTGAATAAAATTATATTATGCAAGTCTCTGGGTCGCATAATATTGTTTGTATTCAACAAGTTCAATAATTTTAGTATTGAATCTACACAAATTTAATATTCTATTTGTCACATACCCAAAATTGTTAACAGTGAAAATATTCACTTTTTGATTATGCACCTCAAGTGTAACACTAACACTTGGCACATCTTTAAGCTATGTTTGTATAACGTAAATGATGTCACGTTAAAATATATGCTCAGTCGTACAATACCATTTTTAGGATATTGTATGTACACTACGTTAGTGTGATAAATATATATATTTCGCTTCTTCTTACCTCATGGTCTTGTACTGACTGTAAAAATGCTGCCGGCTCGAACTTTGGATGGATAATGAGCTTTGCCCCTTGAGCCAGCGTTCCAAACTGTAACACCATCATACCATATATATGATAAAACGGCAACAAGCCCATTAGAACTTCTTTACCTGTCTCAAACTTCATCTGACCTCTGGAAACACAATATAAATAAATTTTCCATAGGCATTTCATATGTGATTTTCAAAAACATCTTGTAAGTGATTTCCAAAGCCACCTCATAAGTGATTTCCAAAGCCACCTCATATGTGATTTTCAAAAACATCTCATAAGTGATTTTCAAAAACATCTCATAAGTCATTTCCAAAGCCACCTCATACCGGTAAATTATTTTCAAAGACAGCTCTTACGTGATTTCCAAAGGCATCTCATAAGTCATTTCCAAAGCCATCTCATAAGTGATTTCCAAAGCCACCTCATAAGTGATTTCCAAAGCCACCTCATAAGTGATTTCCAAAGACATCTCAAAAGTGATTTTCAAAAACATCTCATAAGTCATTTCCAAAGCCACATCATACCGGTAAATTATTTTCAAAGACAGCTCTTACGTGATTTCCAAAGGCATCTCATAAGTGATTTTCAAAAACATCTTATAAGTGATTTCCAAAGACATAATTATTATAAGTGAATTCCAAAAACATCTCTTAAGTGATTTCCAAATGCGTGCTGCACATATGGTTCTCAAATTAATCATTTTGGTATAAATTTCCCAGCCTGTTTTAATTACCCATTTATATAGTTGCAACCTTCAAATGCATAATTATTACAACTGAATGAAGTACCCCTTATGGACTAAACAGTTAAAGTTCTGTAAGAGGAAAAATGATTATTACCCTAAAAGAAATAAAACCAATGATCTCTGCTTCCAGTGACAAACATTTAAACCTTGCAAATGGCCCATTTAAATGCTTGTCGATTAAAGTTCCCTTCTTCATGTAATAGCTTTTAGGTTTTCACGAAGTCCCTTCATTTTCAAACATAGCATTACACTGACTTATAACTTAAGTTGTTAACTCAATCAATTTGACAGAAGAGCTAATAACTTATACCTTACTGGCCTGCTGAAACAAAAACTAATTAACATTTGCCACCAGTATAGAGCCATGCCAGCCTGTACATCCTTGAAGTCTGACCAGACTCTATACTGTTTGCCTGCTTACTTTCAATTTTCATTTTGATATCCAGAAGAATTGATAACGATCACTTCCAAAATGGGGCAGCAAGGTCTAGTGGTTAATGTGTCGGACTAGTAACCTAATGATTTGCTAGCTGCATGGGTTCAAACCAGCGGCAGGGGCAAGTCGTTGTTTCCTTCAGCAAGAAACTTTACACTCATTGCTCAGTACTCGATGGCTCCAGGAACAAATTCTAGAGTGTGTCTATAAGGTTATAGCTCGTACACAATCAAACTAAAATAAATTCTGTATCAACTATGGAAGTTGGTCTAGTCAATTAAATAAATTCAGCAGGTTGAGGTTTTAAAGCTGCACACCTTTAGATGAGCCAAGATATTTCAAGAAATTCAATCTTTAGAAAAATGTATTAAGATCTAGAAAAGTAAACAGATTCAATATCAAATTCATTATTTACATGTTATGTACGATTAATGACTGATTTTTGCAGACTATCAATCGCTATAACTCTACTGCGTTACTTACGCTGTAAGAGGTATTTATGTATATTTTGACCTTTTTTTGGTAATTTACGTGGATTGGAAGTGCTGTTTGCAATCTGTAAATTACATTCTTTGTTCACTTCACAGTATTTTACTTTTAAATACATTTTCAAAATTTTCATGAAAATTAGCATGGATCTGGAGGCATGCTGCTTTAAGCCTAACATATGATTTTTATTCAGTATGGTCGCTAGACGCTAGACTACATGTACATAAAGATCTTACGTTTGCGCTTGTAGTAAGTTCATCACCATGTTTGTATGTGACAACATTACGCCTTTGGGAAGTCCCGTTGTGCCACTACTGTATGGCAACGTAAGAATAGCTTCTCCAGGGTTGATGTCAACATTCTCGGGGAAACTGTGACCGTTGTCGTCAAGAAGATTCTGGAAAGGTCGGCATTTGTCCGCCTCTCCGTCAATTATAATCACATCCTACATTAAGAACAAAATTGTTGGATACTTATTCTTAACACTTGAAAATATTGTATGTTTCTGTTCGTAAAATGCTTAAATATTGTGGAATTCTGCTATTTATAAATAAAGATATTGTGGAATTCTATTGTTTCACTTAACAAGAGCCACCACCAGGCCGGGGTAATGCCTGATTTTTCATGCTTTTTCTAAAAGCAACAAATAAACGGTTCAAACAGATCTTTAAAAAGATTTTTAAAGGCAAAACAAGATTGCATTTGAGAAAAATGCTATGCCACCGCATGGTTCAAATTTCATAGCTGTACATCAAAGGACAAGAAAGTAAGTCACATCATCAAAATCTAGGTCAAAGTTCAATTTTACAACTAAAACTGTGCACATGGTCAAAATGTCATTGCTGTACATCAAAGGACAAGAAAGTAAGTCACTGTCTCCTTGGACAAGGCATAATTTTGACCCAAGGGTTTAATAACAATCTTGATACAGGTCCATCAAACAACATTTCAAGTCAAATATCTAAGCTATAGCTTTCTCCCATTCAGAAAACATTTGTTCTATTTTCTGTTTTTAATACGTGTACATAATGAGAATCACTGCCCCCCGGGCAGGGCCAATTTTTGACATTTGAACAACTTTGGTAGAGGACTTATAGATGATATTATATATCAAACATCAAAGCTCTATGCCTTGAACCTTCAGACAAAAATATACTTTTTTTTTCACTATATGTACATAATGAAAATCAATGACCCCCGGGGCGGAACCAATTTTGACCCCAGGGCTATAATTTGAACAATCTTGCTAGAGGTTCACTACACAATGTTTCATGCAAAATATCTTAACTCTATCCTTAGTAAATTTAGAGAAGATGATTTTTTAAGTTTTAACTATATACATATAAGATAAACCTATGGCTCCCAGGGGCGGGCTAATTTTGACACAAGAAGCAAAATTTGAACAACTTTGGTAGAGTACCTTAAGATGATATTATTTAACAAATATTAAAGCTCTAAGCCTTGTACCTTCAGACAATAAGATTTTTTTATTTTTTACTCTATGTATATATTGAAATCAATGACCCCCAGGGCGGGGGCAATTTTGACCCCAGGGCTATTAATCTGAACAATCTTGCTAGAGGTTTACAACACAATGTTTAATGCAAAATATCTAACCTCTAGCATTTGTCAATTGCTAGAAGAATTTTTTAAAGTTTTTACTATAAACATATAAGGAAAACCAATGACCCCTGGGGCGGGGCCGATTGTAACCCCAGGGCTATAATTTGAACAATCTGGGTAGAGGTCTACCAGACAATGCCTTATGCAAAATATCTAAGCTCTAGGACTTTTGGGTCTTTACAAGAAAGTGTTTTAAGTTTTTACTATATGTACATATTGCGAAAATCAATGACCCCGGGGCGGGGCCGATTTTGACCCAAGGGCTATAATTTGAACAATCTTGGTAAGGGTCTATCAGATGATGCCTTACGCAAAATATCTAAGCTCTAGGCCTTTTGGGTTTTTACAAGAAGGTATTTAAAGTTTTTACTATATGTACATAGTGAAAATCAATGACCCCCGAGCGGGGCCAATTTTGACCCCAGGGCTATAATTTGAACAATCTTGTTAGAGATCTACCAGACAATGCCTTATGCAAAATATCTAAGCTCTAGGCCTTTTGGGTCTTTACAAGAAGATTTTTTAAATTTATTCTTATACAGTAGAACTTCGGTAAGTCAAAGTTCAAGGGACTTACGTAAAAAGTTCGACACATCGGGACTTCGACTCATATATAGGTCCGAATTTTTGCGACAAAATCTCGCCATGACACAACGTTTACAAATGACATTACAAATGGCGTTACAAAGACAAGGGGCGATAAGTAAATCATCTTATAGTACGGATCAGATACAATACTGTTTCGTGCGTGTTTGAAACAAAACAAGAATATTTTTTTTAACAAAATTTATTTATTTATTCATTCATTTATTTATGTACAACAAAACAGGCAAATAAAACATGACTTAAATAAATACATTTTACTTTTTAATACACAATGAATAATGAGCACATTTTTTATTAACGAATATGAATATCACACATCACAATGTTTATAAACGATTATCATTAACATTTACAAAGAAATCAGAGATTGATGTCTGCTTACACTCACTTCTTCTTAGATAATATCTGCTGAACATAGAACTAATGTCACTTAATTTTGCGATGGCTCTTTCTGTCTCCGCATAACTCCCGATTCCTTGTTGGTGAAGAAAGTCCCTGACCGCATCTAATCCGTCCATGGCATCGAAAATAGTCACTCCAGATCTTGAAGGCAGCTCATCATCATCGTTATCATCAGGAAGGGTTTCATCGTGAGATTGACGTTATGAAACAACGTTATTTATGATTTCCTCGTCAGTGAGATCAGCGCATACCAGAACACTGTCATCTGCCGATGTGTATTGCTCAAACGATACACCAGAGGTCAGACGCCTCAGAGTTGACAGAGGTAAGTCATCCTCAGGGTCGTCCTCAATCATTTCAATACCGGAAACTGAAGACTGCTGGAATCCAGCATGTCGAAAGCAGTTAGCAATAGTCTGAGGACTGACAGCATGCCAAGCTGTTTTGAGCATGTACAATGCATCTAAAACCGAGATGCTTGTTTCTCCACCTGTTTCAATAGCTCGAAGCTGACGTTGAATGACTTGCTTTCTATAGTGAGCTTTGAGATTTTTTATGACTCCCTGATCCATAGGTTGGGTCACGGATGTTGTGTTTGGTGGCAGAAATACGAGTCTGACAGATCTTAATCCCGTGATGTCTGGATGCGCAGGGCAGTTGTCGACAATCAACAGAACCCTTCGCGACTGTGCCGAAATACGGCGGTCAAACTTTTTCACCCAGTTAGTGAAGATTTCTGATGTGACCCATGCTTTTTTGTTTGCATCATATTCAATTGGCATTGTTTTTAGATTTTTGAAACAGCGAGGATTTTTTGATTTTCCTATCACAAAAAGCGGTACTTTCTCAGACCCTGTCATGTTTGCGCAGACCATAACTGTTAATCGATCCTTGCTCATTTTACCACCGTGGCACTGAACATCTTTAAATTCTAAGGTCTTTTCAGGCAACATTCTAAAGAACAAGCCAGTTTCATCAGCATTGTAAATGTCTTGTGGCTCATATTCAGTCAGATAGGTTTGAAGTTTAGATTTCCACTCGGTCATTGCTGTGGAATTAGAGTCGACAGATTTTGCTTCTCCACAAACTTTTTTGAAGGACAGTTCATGTCTTTCTTTAAATCTGTCAAGCCAGCCTGTTGAGCACTCGAAATCAGAAACATTGAGCTGGTCTGCAAATTGCTTTGCTTTTTGTTTGACAATTTCACCAGATAGCGGTATGTTTTTTGATCTTGCATTAGAAAACCATTGCAAGAGGGCACTTTCTAATTCTGGAAATTTTGCCTTTTTGTCACGTTTGCGTTGTGGGCCAATGTCTGCCTCTGAAAACTTCTTTTTAATTTCATCTCTTTTTTTTAACCAAGTTGAAAGTGTATTAGGTGGAATACCAAATTTACTTGCGACATCTTTTTTCTTTATTCCCTTTTCTACTTCTAGTATTGCCTGGTATTAAATTTCGTAAGTCTGCACATTCAGTTTACGCTTTATTCCTTGCTCTGATCTGACCGATCTAGCTATCCCCCCGGAATAACCGGGTCCTTCACTTGATGCTTCGGTCACGTTTGTGCGGCTCGCTATCCCCCCGGGTTGGGTACCTGGTCCTTCGCTTACCAACACGTTATGATCAGTAGAAATATCCATAATGGAACTAATTTGTCAACATTCATAGAGGTTTATATTCGAATCATATGACATTGAGAGTGATAACGATTTAAGACATAATAAAGGATATTTTCACACATAGAAACGCATGCAAAAGCTGTTAAAACAAGCGGCTGTGTGTTATTAACACCTGTCAGATAAGATGATCGGCAATCATCTACGCGGGTGGAAAAGGTGTGAAAAATATCTGGAGATTAAAGGTGTAAAAAGTATTGAAGGACTTCGACTTATTTGTGGTAAATTGCACTCGATTTATTCTACACGGACCACGGAAAAAACTCGACACATCGAAAAATTCGACACATAAAAGTTCGACTCATTTGTAGGTTTTTATAAGGAATATATAGGGGAAAAAATCGGGACTTTCATTTTAATCCGACACATCGAGAAAATCGACTAATCGAAGTTCAACTCACCGGTGTTCTACTGTAATTCCTTTTGGTTGCCATGGCAACCAGATTTCTGCATGGAATGAAATTCTTTGAACAACTTTGGAAGCCCTTCACCCAAGGAACAATCCTGCCAAGTTTGGTTGAAATTGGACTAGTAGTTTTTCACAAGAAGATTTTTTAAGTTCACTATATAATCTATATAACACACACACACACAAACAAACAAACACACACACAGGTGAATCGCTATATGCCACCGCATCGCAGATTGCGGTGGCATAAAAAATAAGGTCTGTATAGTCGCACTTGTTGTTTTGTTCAAGTATGAATCATTTTCATAAATTTGTTTGTTTGATTGGGTTTTACGTCACATCAACACAGTATATATCATATGGCAACATTCCACCTTTACTGGTGCAGGAAGACCATAAGGCACAAGCAGGCACCTGAGTAGAACCACCAATGTTATGTAAGCTGGATAGCTATCTTACATTAAAGAATCCATAATCCCTGGCAAGATTCGAACCGCTAGCAGTGAGGAGCAAGTGGTTATCTGGGATTTTATCAATGTGTCCAGGAACAAAGTGTCATTCTTATCAAACTTTGACTATAAATATCTGTTTCGTTTTGTATTGCTCATAAATATAATAATACCTTGCATAAGTATTTACCTTAATACTCTGTGAAACAACTTGGTCTATTGCAAAGGCTTCTTGTACTGTTGGCAGCATGGATGCCATTGTAAAAATACACTTTGTTTCACTATGAACAAGTTGTCTGGCCAATTCAGCTATTAAAAATAAAGCCAAAAGTGACAATTATTGATCATAAAAATTCTAAAAAAAAAGGTTTAACCCTCCAGGGCTTCATTTCACAGGAAGGAGTAGAGGCCCTTCAATTAGCAAATATTTCCATGTAACAAAATTAACCACTTATACAGTATTGCACTAAAGTGACGAAATGATCTGTTTGTTGGTAAGCTACGCTAAAAAATTCAAGGATAAATAACTCCGGAGATACTACGTAGATCTAAAAATACTTTCAAATAATAATAGTATTAACCTATGGTGGTTAAATTTGTGCACCAGATGTTATAAAAAAAAACTCAAACTTTTTCCACTCAAGACAAGAAAAAAATATAAATGCTATCTTCTTTCACTGTTCTGAAAGGGGATATTAAATACCCCTAATCAATATATCATTTTAAGAAGGACTTCAAATATAAGCTTTAACATTAATAAACAAAATTGTGAAAAAGACACGTCCAGCTGAGACTATCGTACTGTCCATTGTTAAAGTAAAGGGTTATTATATCAAAATGCATAATAAGTCTGGGTTGCGTTTCTTGCGTTTCTTAGTCTTCCAACAGAAACTGAACAGAAAAAATGTTCTCTCTTTGGACTTCTATGTTATGGCTCCTTAAATTTCTGAATAACAATATAGATGAACTTTTACAGATTTTGATAGCAGATTAAAATGTGCAAGTTGAATTAAATTAAAGTCTTAATTCTTCGAATAAAGATAAAAAATGTTTATTGAAATGGTTTTAGGTTAGTTTAGTCATAAAGTTGGCCTTACATCTTAAGACTTAGGATATACTCAAGGACTTTCTATGAACAGAGCCCTGGTCAGGCTGCACAATATTGCAAGCTGGCTAGACTCTATACTTGTGACTTAGGAAAGCTATTATTGTCATAAACATTCAAAGGGTTAAAGTTTATAAATCCCTTAACCTGATGGAACCAAGTATGATTAGCAGTTGCGACCAGTATAGAGCCAGGCCAGTCTCCACTACCATGCAGCATACATGTGAACTTTTTTTGATGATCAAGTGGGAGATTTTTCTTTAAAAAGAGGGAGATTTTAGAATTTGAAATAAACAAAGAAGAAAGTTCTGACAAACAAGAGGGCCATGATGGCCCTGAGGTCGCTCACCTGTATATAGCCCCCCCCCCCCACGGCCCAATTTTTACCCAAGGGCTTTTATTTGTTTATTTGAACAGACTTGGTAGACACCCATAAGAAGATGTTTCATGCAAAACATCTAAGTTCTAGCTCATTGGGTTTTTTAAAAGAAGATTTTTTTAAGTTTTTACTATACACATAGAGTAAAAAACAATGACACCCCTCGGGCAGGGCCAGTTTTGACCCCTGGGCTTTTATTTGAACAAACTTTGTAGATATTTACTTAAAGATGTTTCATGCTTAATATCTAAACTCTAGTTATTTGGGTTTTTTCAAAGAAGATTTTTAAGTTTTTGCTATGTATATAAGGAAAATCAATGACCCCCGGGGCGGGGCCAGTTTTGACCCCAGGGCTTTTATTTGAACATACTTGGTAGACACCCATTATAACATGTCTCATGCTAAATATCTTAGCTCTAGCTCTTTGGGTTCTTTAAAAGAAGATTTTATAAGTTTTTACTATATGCATATAAGGAAAATCAATGACCCCTGGGGAGGGGCCAATTTGGACCCCAGGGGTTTTATTTGAACAAACTTGGTAGACATTCACTAGAAGATGTTTCATGCCAAATATATAAGCTTTAGCTCTTACAGTTCTTTAAAAGAAGATTTTTTAAGTTTTTACTATATGCATATAGGGAAAATCAATGACCCCCTGGGGCGGGGCCAATTTTAACCCCAGGGCTTTTATTTGAACAAACTTGGTAGACATTTACTAGAAGATGTTTTATGCCAAATATCTAAGCTCTAGCTCTTACGGTTCTTTAAAAGAAGATTTTTTAAGTTTAAACTATATGCATATAGGGAAAATCAATTACCCCCCAGGGCGGGGCCAATTTTGACCCCAGGGCTTTTATTTGAACAAACTTGGTAGACATTCACTAGAAGATGTTTCATGCCAAATATCTAAGCTCTAGCTCTTTGGGTTCTTTAAAAGAAGATTTTTTAAGTTTTTACTTTATGCATATAGGGAAAATCAATGACCCCCTGGGGCGGGGCCAATTTTGACCCCAGGGCTTTTATTTGAACAAACTTGGTAGACATTCACTAGAAGATGTTTCATGCCAAATATCTAAGCTCTAGCTCTTACAGTTCTTTAAAGGAAGATTTTTTAAGTGTTTACTATATGCATATAGGGAAAATCAATGACCCCCCGGGGCGGGGCCAATTTTGACCCCAGGGCTTTTATTTGAACAAACTTGGTAGACACTCTTACTAGACGATGTTCCATGCCAAAAATCTTAGCTCTAGCTCTTACAGTTCTTTAAAAGAAGATCTTTTAAGTTTTTACTATATGCATATAGGGAAAATCAATGACCCCCCGGGGGCGGGGCCAATTTTGACCCCAGGGCTTTTATTTGAACAAACTTGGTAGACACTCATTAGAAGATGTTTCATGCCAAATATCTAAGCTCTAGCTCTTAGGGTTGTTTAAAAGAAGATATTTAAAGATTTTTCTTTCGGTTGCCATGGCAACCAGAGTTCTGCATGGAATAAAATTCTTTAAACAATTTTTAAAGGTGACCACCAAAGGAACATTCCTGTGAAGTTTGGATGAAATTGGCTCAGTGGTTTATGAGGAGATGTCATTTAAAGCAAAAGTTTACGGACGGACGACGGACGGACGACGGACGGACGGACGCCGGACGAAAAGCGATCACAAAGGCTCACCCTGTCACTTTGTGACAGGTGAGCTAAAAAAAGGGGAGATTTCTTTAATTTGCGAAAATACCCCTTATTTTAAGAAAAAAATCTTTGCAAAATGGCTGCAGAAAGTAAGGAGTCTCCGGATGAAAGTGGAAGAGTTCACAATTATTGTATGCCATGCAGTCTGACCAGCCACTGCAAACTTGTAACATTGCTGGTCGACCAATTCTTAATTTTCCTCTCTTGAAATCCCCAAAATTGATAATGGACAGTTCCATAAATGAAAGCTGGACAAGTCCATTTCAGAAATGTAGCGGGTTTAGGGTTGAAGTATGTAGTTATGAGAGGAAGATCATACTTGGTGTGTACACTGGGTTGGCGGTGCTCACTGTAACACCTATCGCCGCACAAGCCAGAAAGATGATCGGGTACTCCGGACAATTATTAGAGAACACCAAAGCCACATCTCCCTTCTTGTAACCCAGGCGTGTCAAAGCACTTGCTACTTTTATAACCTGATCTTTTATTTTGGCACCAGAATATACTCTCCCTGTCGGATAGTCTACCTAAGTGAAAATAATTAAAAAAAGAAAAAGAAAAAATTTAATTGTCTTATAAGCTAATTTACAATTTCATACTTTCAAATGTTCATATTCATTTTCTTAACGCATTTTTCAATAACTATTCTTTTCTATGTTGTATAACTTGTATACATTAAGTTTTTTTGTATATATATATCTTTTGTTGGTAACTTATATATATATGTACTTTTGTACATTTTGATAGAGGCTCATAGGGAAGACTGGGCTTGCATAACTATGTTGCCTCTTTAAATAAAGTCTTTATTATAATCATTATTATTAATTTTGCTCACAGATTTTATTGAAGTGTAAAACTATATGCCTTTAAATGGCAAAATGAAAAAAGATATATATGAAAGTGTTGTTTTCAAATGCTTATAGTATTAACCAGAATCGTGACTTACACATTTTTGTAAATTCAGAAATGTTTCCTGGTTCATTATAAGAATTACTCCAAAACGGCTTCAGCAAAATAACCTTACAACACTCATTTGTAAGTTTATTAAATCAATTTTTTATTTATTAGTTATCATTTACAAAATTAAATTGGTAGGAAAAAAAACGCGCATAACTATTCATCCAATTTAGACTGGTAAATGTCTATTACTGGATGCTAAACCAATTTCAATATATTTGAAATTACTTTTACAAGACTGATTAATAGGTAGCCAATTTACCAATGTAAATGCGTTATAATTCAAATAACGCAATCTCATTTACTTTATACATATTTATTTTAGTTTGATTATACTGGAAGCTGTAAGCTTATAGAAACATGCTTGAATCTGTTCCTGGAACAAACCAGTACTAAGCAATGAATGTAAAGTTTCTTGCTCACAGAAACAATGGCCTGCCCCTGACGGGGTTTGAACCCACGTGGCCAGCAATCCTAAGCTTACTTATGTTAACCACTATTTAAATGGACACAAAATAATTTCAAACAAATATTTTCTCAAAATCTGTTTTTAGTACTCTTTAATCTGAATGATAAAACTTCAATGTTAAAATATTTTTTGATATCAAAATCCCTAAAACTTTGATTGAACTGTTCCAACTTCAAAGCAAGGCAAATATGTTACATAATTCTGCAGGTCAAAGGTTAAATATGTTACATAATTTTGTAGGTCAAGGGTTAAAAAAGAACTAACTTACCATCATATCCAAATTTTTAAATTCATCTAAATTAGCAAACATAAAATCTCGAAATGTTTTATTGCACAATGGGACGTCTGGATATGGGCTTCCAATAATAGTTTCTCCATTTTCTCTGAAAATGACCGTCTGCTTATCAACACCACTGCTAAAATGTCTGCATACACTGAGTTTATTACGAGAGGTGACATTTGTCAAGAACTTCTGATGAGACTTTATAGATGAGGTGACAGGTACAAATCTCTTGCAGGACGTCGTTAACAACTGCCTGCATGCAGAACAAGCCGAGGAAGCCATTGTGAAACTGGAATTCTAAAAAGAAATAAAGAATAAGGCTTAAAGGCTCCTTAATATGCCTCAGAAATGATTTTATTATAATTTGTCAAAAGCTTTTTTTTCTTTTTAGTGTACTTTTATACATGTAGTTTCCAAAAAGCTAATCATTAGCTAATTACACAATATACAGTTTTTTTCTTTTTTTCCTTTTTTTTTGCAATTAGCAGTCATAGTGAATTTGTATTTTATATGGTGTCAAAATACTACTTAACTTTGTTTACATTGTGCTACTTTTATGACAAATTAATTCACAATGAGTGCTACTTTTCTCATGTAACAAGCCTTTCTATGTCATGTTATTATACATTATTTAAATGTTATATATTTCATGTCAGCCTTTTCTAAAGATTTAACAATTTATTTGTATCTGGGGCATAATATGCTGGTGTAAGTTCAGAATTTCATTTTAAAGAAACTTTTCAATTTGAAGAGGCCTTTTATAGGTCTGGCCTCTTTTATTATTTACAAGGTGAAAATTCACAGACCAAAAAATCCAAATATAAGTATAATTAAGTCTGTTGGGGTTATTTTTTTCTACTATTTCTACAAAACTCAAGGAAGGACGCTTAGAATTGAAACAAGTGGCATACATGAGGAAACAAACATTTTTTTTTTGTTGGGCCTGAGGAGAAATTGGTCTATAGCCTGACATTTCAGATGAGTAATTGAGCACAAAATATTGGCGTAAGTTTAATGAGCTTTTCAGCTGCATATTTTTGATACATATATCTTTTCTAACATCAAAAGAATTAAAGTTTTACCATGACATTTTGTATTGCTTAAAAAGTATTTATTTAATCTGCTCAAATCAGATGCTAGTAATTTCAGGACATAAACTCACCAGGGGTGCATTTCACTTTAAGTGCTAATAGTAACTCAAATTTGAACATTATTTATAAACTTTTTACATAAGCAGAACATACATATTTATTTGCGTTTCACTAAAATTTTCTTAGCTCCACATTTGCATTGGTTTAAATCTAAGGTTACGCTCACAGAATTAAGCTGGCGTACATTGCATGTTAATCTGTTAGTGAAACGCAACTAACATAGATTTACGTTTCAATTTGCTTTAATCCAAATTGATGTAAAGGGATATGCTGAACTTACGTAATATTAGTGAAATGCTTGTCTGACATCTAAATCCTTACAGTTTTTTTGGGTTTTATTTTTTTTTTCGATTTTTGAGACAACCTGTGTCTTTCTGAAGGGGAAAATATAGCACAATAAATATAAGTAAATATAAACGGGAGAATCTCAATCAAGCACCAACAACTGAGAATGGAACATACATTTGTACAATTTTGTAGCCACACATTTTATCAAATTTTCAAATTAATATCAATTTATTACGCTAGGTACATAGGCTATCTATAGTTATCAAGATTAAAATCCTATACAATTATTAAAAGCTGATACAAGACATTTGCTTTCAAGTCACCATTCTGGGGATAGACTGCACAGGGCATTTCAAAACAGCAGATATAAGATACTCAAATTTATGTGCTTACTGTAAAGAATTTATACAGAAACTGTAAAATTGCACAAAATGTAAGATTTAAAATAGGTCATCACAGTTCACTCGCACGCAGTGAGTGTGTGTTTATCAGGGTGTTTACAGTACACTAAAGTAAACATTGTTATATCTGGGGCAAGAATATCTGAAATTTGAACGATAAAAAACAAATTATGCAGAAGTAAAAAATCAATATTTACTGAGCTATTGAAAGAAAAATATATATGTAGCAGATGCCAATATTAAAATCGAACTGACACTACCTAGGTACAACAAATGCAGTCGAAATTCCAGAACTGTTGAACGTCCTCTTTTCTGCTCCACTTTGCACTGCAAATTGCAGATTGAACCTAAAATGACTTGTGTAGCGCAAAGAAAATATTACCACAAGGTGCATTATTGTAGCAAAAAGGACACGTTAGGTGCGCCGTTTTTGGAGTAAATTCAAAGTTGTATCAATAGAAAAGAAATACAAAGCTTGAAACAAAAAGATTTATACATGTAGACCCAATATTTAATTTATTATCACCACAATATACAGAAACGATGGCTCAGCTCAATGCTGGTCCACGACTAAGTTCTCTGAAAATTATAACTACAACCTTTCCTAATTAATACAATTTTGTAATTTGCTACATGTATATCAATATAATAACTTACATACCTGATTTTATGGGATACAGACTGCTGTGTTGAGCGAAATTAAAGATTTCCATTTTTATGTCATCAATTTTTCATTTGTTACATAGTTAAATATGGGAAGATGGCCTAATGTGAAAGATGTCTTTAAACCAAATCATAATTGGCTCGATCCTAGTTCTGGCTTCCAAAACTTTATAAGCCGCTTTTTAATATTTTTGTTTTTCATCTGATGCGGCATTCACGTCATGTCATAGTACTCGTATATAAACGGGTACGCTGAAGACCTTAAGCTAGCTCGATCCTTACTGTAATAACTCTTATGTTTCTCCGGTTTTAAGAGTCGTTCAACCACGGATTTATATTAAATGTCATTTTGCAACAGGTCTCATTGCAGACTAGCTGAGTGAAGACCTTTTCACTGCAAACTTAAATTGTGTGACTTAGTCGTAATCTTAAAACTTAATCAATTACTACTATTAATAATAATAATAGTGATGATGATGATGATGATGACGACGACGACGACGACGATGATATGATGATGATGATGATGATAATAATAATAATAATAATAATAATAATAATAATAATAATAATAATAATAATAATAATAATTAATATAATAATAATAATAATAATAATAATAATAATAATAATAATAATAATAATAATAATTAATAACGAAGATATATCTTATTAGGACAGTACATCAAAGCACCAGAAATAACAAATATAATGCAAACTCTTATTTTCAACAAGGCCTTCAATAAACATAACACTTGATATACAGTACAGTACATGTACATGTATTACAAGCAATTAGAGATTGTAACATTCAGAGCTAAATAAATTTGTTCAATAAATCTTTGAACTTGAAGAATGCTCTGCTCGATATAACTGTGATACTTGTGTTACTTATAGTTTCTTATAATTGTTTGTTTTTGTTTTAATTCTGCCACGGATTCTGCTTAAGCCAATGCTTAATTGCATTTTTAACTAAAGATACCTTTAAATCAGTATCGATAATATAGAACACCTTTTAATCAGACGCTTTTCTATCGGACGCTCTTTAGTGAGACCAATTTTCGTCACACACAGTCAGCAAAAGTAACGTTACACCGGATATGAAAACGAAATCGCAAAATAAGGAAAAATAATTTAAAGAGATACCAAAATAATGATATTTTGTAAGTGACAACACGTTTTTTGTATTATGTTACATATAGTGATTGTTTATAAAAGCTGATTTCGTTCAAAGCTTCTTTCAATTTCTTGAAAATAATCTGCACTGTCACTGCAGTTTTTTTGTTTTTCAGAAAAATTGTGCAACTTTTAACAGTTTAAGAAAGCAAAAGTAGAAAGCATTTTAGCAAAGGTAAGGTCTGCCTTTTACTAAATTTTGATAGCTCATGGAAATTTAAATGTATGACAGTATGACTAAACATTTCAAACAAATGCCATAATATTCTAAAAATATTCATAAATATTCTTGACAGTATTCTCTAGTCCAATATATCTCGTGGGACTTGTTCCGAAATGGACGCTTTGTGAGCCGCAAGGTAGTTAAAGTGAATGGTTACCGACTTCTATCCGCCTGGCGCCTGGCATAGTGGTAGGAGTTGGGAGGTATGCTAGCAAAAGGTGTCTCATAAGTCAGAAATGGCTGGCCCTTTCAGTAGGGGTGACACTATAATAAACAAGACTTTTACCTTTACCTTTTTTAGCTCGACTATTCGATAAGAATAAGTAGAGCTATTGCAGTCACCCGAGCGTCGGCGTCGGCGTAACCACTTATGTTAAAGTTTTTGTAATAGTTCAAATATTTTCAAAGTCCATTGACATATGGCTTTGAAACTTTGCACACTTGTTCACCATCATGACCCCAACCTGTAAACAGGAGGAGGTAACTCTATCAAGCATTTTGACAGAATTATGCCCCTTTTTCGACTTAGAATTTACGTTAAAGTTTTTGTAATAGTTCAAATATTTTCAAAGTCCATTGACATATGGCTTTGAAACTTTGCACACTTGTTCACTATCATGACCCCAACCTGTAGACAAGAGGAGGTAACTCTATCAAGCATTTTGACAGAATTATGCCCCTTTTTCGACTTAGAATTTACGTTAAAGTTTTTGTAATAGTTCAAATATTTTCAAAGTCCATTGACATATGGCTTTGAAACTTTGCACACTTGTTCACCATCATGACCCCAACCTGTAGACAAGAGGAGGTAACTCTATCAAGCATTTTGACAGAATTATGCCCCTTTTTCGACTTAGAATTTACGTTAAAGTTTTTGTAATAGTTCAAATATTTTTAAAGTCCATTGACATATGGCTTTGAAACTTTGCACACTTGTTCACCATCATGACCCCAACCTGTAGACAAGAGGAGGTAACTCTACCAAGCATTTTGACAGAATTATGCCCCTTTTTCGACTTAGAATTTATGTTAAAGTTTTTGTAATAGTTCAAATATTTTCAAGTCCATTGACATATGGCTTTGAAACTTTGCACACTTGTTCAACATCATGACCCCAACCTGTAAACAGGAGGAGGTAACTCTATCAAGCATTTTGACAGAATTATGCCCCTTTTTCGACTTAGAATTTACGTTAAAGTTTTTGTAATAGTTCAAATATTTTCAAAGTCCATTGACATATGGCTTTGAAACTTTGCACACTTGTTCACCATTATGACCCCAACTTGTAAACAGGAGGAGGTAACTGTATCAAGCATTTTTTTCACTATCAAGCACTAAGAATAGTCGAGCGTTGCTGTCCTACCGACAGCTCTTGTTTATATCAGACTTTACAGG